GGGGCGTTGACAGCATGGCGACTCTGCTGGGGAAATTGTCTTTGAGGCTTTTACCATCACATGTTATTTGTGACTTTATTGCTTCTTTATTGCTTTTATTTAATGTCTTTATTTCTCTTCTACTTCGAAACTGACTTGGCTCTTTGTTTTCTTTTCTTTAATGCCTTTACTGCTTTCTTTCAATACTGTTGCAATTATGAGCAATCATTGTAATCATTATTTTATGAACGTGCAAATACGTGACAACTTGTTTCATTCTTGTAACTGCATCTTCAACATCATATTTCACTCGTGCCAAAAAAATACCATAGCAACGCTTATAATGAGTGGTTGCGTCCTTCCAATATATCACCCCCTAAATTTGGTAAAGGCGTATTTGCGGTAAAACCAGTCGATCAGCGGTGCAGTCGACGGTTCCGTGCCTTTCCCTCTTGAGTTCTCCGCTCAAGGGTACTGGTCTAATACCCCATAGAAACCTTACTCTGTTCAAATATGCATGCATCACTGTCAAACCTAGTCGAGTCAGTTGTGTTGTCCGCATAATGACTCTTTAAGATAGCCTTGTCCAAAGTCCACTGGGTTTCCTTGAAACCCAAACAGACGCCACCATATTCTGTGCATTTATTTGGAGAACTAAATGCTTTAATGCTAATTATTGGTTTAAATAGTCGAGTCCGGTGGGGGGGGGTATGGTCTTAACCCTTTTGTTTTGCAGAAAATGGAGAACAAAGTCCCCGACTTCGGTATGGTCAGTATACCCTCACTCTTGCTGACCTGGTGGAGGAATCTCCCATCAAATGACCAAATCAATGAATGGAAAGAGAGGGTCACCAAGGCTAGCGAAAAGCTGGAATATCTGGAATACAGTCTGCTGGAATTGGAAGGAAAAGTAAGAAAAAGAGTCGTCGACTGCCAGAACGCTGAGGGAAACGAAGGAGAACGCCTGGCAAAGGCATTTTTACTGGAGAACCTGCGCGACCTGGAGGATTTGATCAACGAGAGCATTCAACCTGGGGAAGGTCCTTCTGAGACCAAGTAGTTAGGAGTCTTTTCTTTTGCTTTTAAAATGTAATAAGGCCAATAGCCATTAGTGACATTTTACTTTCTGCAACTTTAGTGTCGTTTTGGGATTCGTCTTATTTTTATCAATAAAATGAGGCATTTAGCATTATAAGTTCTCCAAATCAACTTGTCGCTAGGCCTACTTCGGGTGCAACGAGGCACCCAAATTAGGACACGATTTATATTCTCACACTCCGGAGAGGCTCCTACAGCCCAAGCGCTATCATAAGCCAGATCCGGGCATAAATCAATATAACATGCTACGACGTGCAGCCCGATCCCATAACTGTCACTCATAATCAGGCTTTCAGTCTCACTCAATCATTAATTTCTCCAGTCTCACTCACGAGTTCACAATGTCATGAAACTAGCCCGACAACAATGATATGATGTGTCAATAAATAATAACTCAGACTGAGATATGATATGAATGCATGAATATGACTGGGTACGAAATATCAATCAAATTAATGAGATGACAGCAAGAAACGACCACTGTGGGTCCTAACAATGTCAGCATAAAGCCTAAACATGATATCTAGCATGATTGACAACTCAGTTACTTTATCACATGGTAAAAACCAGATATCAACAAAATAGGGCCACTATAAAGTGCCATAGAAACAACAGAGTCACAATTCACAGGGTACACGCCTACACGACCGTCACCTAACATGTGCATCACCTCAATACCAATCACACAACAGGTAATTTGGGGTTTCATACCCTCAACACTAAGTTTAGAAGAGTTACTTACCTCAAACAAGCCAATACTAATATCGAGCAAGCCAAGCATTGCTCCAAAAATGCCGTCACGCGCGTATAGACCTTCGAACGGGTCAAAACTAGCCAAAATCAACTCAAATTCATCAAATAAAGCCCAAGGAAATAATTCCAAATGATAAAGATTGAATCCTCAATCACAAACCAAAATCGGCCAATAGTCACACCCGAGCCTGCGCCTCGGAACCTGACAAAACTCATAAAAACTGACAACCCATTCAGTTACGAGTCCAACCATACTAGTTTCACTCAAATCTGACTCCGAATTAATGTTCAAAACTAAAAAATTCACATTATGAAACTTTAGGCCAAACCCCCCCAATTCCTCTTTTAAATTCATCAACTAAACGCCAAAATCGAAGATAGATTCATGAAATATAACCAAAACCAAGTAGAGAATACTTACCCCAAGTCATATGGTGAAAGTTGCTTCAAGAAACGCCTCAATCCGAGCTCCATAGCTCCAAAAATGTAAAAATGGCCGAAACCCTCGAAATAGAGTACTTTATAATCTGCCCAGGCCTCCTCTTTCGCGAACGCGGGAAATTCGTTGCGTTCGCGATGAATAAAACTCACAATGCCACAAAAGACTCTACGCGTTCGCGATAAACACCACGCGAACGCGATGAACACTGCTGCCAAAGCTTCGCGAACGCAACTAACCTTACGTGATCGCATAGCTCTAATTCCCAGCTGCCAACCTTAACACTACGCGGACGCGATCCTCCATACGCGAACGCGAAGAGGACTTGCCCCAAATCTACGCCAACGCGGGACATACTTTGCGATCGCGAAGGACAATTTGCTGCTGCCAGCAGAATACACTACGCGTTCGCGGCACTTGCCACGCGAACGCGATGAAAGATTGAGACACCAGAAACCAGCAGAACACAACAGTTAAAACATGGAGGAAAATGATCCGAAATCAATCCGAAACACGCCCGAGCCCCTCGGGACCCCGTCCAAACATACCAACAAGTTCCATAACATAACACGGACCTACTTGAGGCCTCAAAACACACATAAGAACATCAAAACGACGAATCACACCTCAACTCGAAATCAATGAACTTTAAAACTACAAACCTCCACAACCGATGCCGAAACCTATCAATTCACGTCCGATTAACCTTATATTTTGCATACAAGTCACGTTTGACATTACGGACCTGCTCCAACTTTCAGAATTGGAATCCAACCCCGATATCAAAACGTCCACTCCCGGTCAAGCTTTCCAAAATCCCAACTTTCGCCATTTCAAGCCTAATTCTACTAGGGACCTCCAAATCACAATCCGGACGCGCTCCTAAGTCCAAAATCACCCAACGAAGCTAACAGAACCATCAAAAATCTAATCTGAGGTCAAATACTAAAAAGTCAAACTTGGTCAACCCTTTCAAATTTAAAGCTTCTAGCTTCTAGCTGAGAATCATTCTTCCAATCGATTCCGAATAACCTGAAAACCAAAACCGACGATTCACATAAGTCATAATACATCATACGGAGCTACTTATGCCCTCAAATAACTGAGCGAAGTGTAATTACTCAAACGACCGGCCGGTCGTTACAAGGAAATTACAGAAGTTATCCTTTAATTCTTCAACACTGCCAACATGCTCAGAGCTATTAACTGAATTGCTAACGCATTTGCTGACCCAAAAAAACAACTATATTCTCACTGCAAATGCTCCTATTAGAATAAGTCCTAGATGGACAATATATGGTACGCTTAAAGCGTATAGACAAGTTGGTTTCAATTAAAATTCTTGATAAAGAAGATGAGCAAATGATCAAAATGATTATAATAAGGAGGCAAGTGATCTAAAAGATCACATGACATAACACTTCATAAAATCTTAAGAGAGGTTCAGGTACCTGAAAATATGAATGAAGAGATCTCTCTGTTATGACTTTATGAAAAAATGAGTTTGGAACCGATACAAATGTTCGTAGACTACATTTATGATAATGCTAATATATGAGGATCTTAAGTCTGGAGAAACGATTCAAGTAGAATTGGTTTCATATGAAAGACATGTCATTTTGGACCTGCAGTTCAAACATTTGAAAGTATAAAGTCAATGGTGTCGCTTTTATCTATCTTAGACGTCTAGCATGACATGAAAACTTGATATGCATCTAACGCCTATTTAAATGGCTTATATAACTTAACTTATATGACAATCCATGAAGGATTTAAATCGCTTAAAGCATATACAATTCTTGGTCTGAAGTACCATATCCTAAGTGCAATTTGTGCACATATGTATCTTGCTATAACTATAAGCATGATAATGTGATAGCGAGAATACCTCTATGGAGATATTGAAAAGGCCATACCATGGCATTTTATGAAGACATTATATATCTATCAGTAATGACGATTTCAAGGTGTAACATATTCATTCAAGTTAATATGGTTGATTTGTTTATCAAATCTCCACTAACGATCTTTTGAAGATGGTGCACAAGATTGGAATGCGAAGGCTTAAAGATGTGAATTCATGCTCTCATCAGGGGGAGTTAATACGCGTTGTACTCTTTTTCCCTTACAAGGTTTTGTCCCATAAGGCGTATTTCTAAACATGTGTACTCTTTTTCCTTCTCTAAAAATTTTTTCCACTAAGATTTATTTTAGTTAATGTTTTAAGGAGACACATTATTTATTGAATAGACATTCAAGGGGGAGTGTTATAAATAGAATTGTATTTTTTAGGGTTTGTTGCTTGGTAAATCACTTTTTCTGTTCTTTCTCCCTACTTTTCTCTGCAATACTTTTCTTCTTTTATTGTTTTATAACAAATACATATTAAATATATTTATTAGAAGAAATAAAATGTTTCATACCAAGAGACTTTCATTTTTTTTAAATTTAAACTCGAAATTTATGTAAAAGCTAAATGATCCAATCATTTCGCCTCACATCTCGTTGGTCAAATCCTTCTTTTGGAAAAAGTAAAAATAAGGAGATATTTACCCAAAATATAAAAATCCTCCAAGAAGGACCAAGAATTCAAGAAGAGCAGTCCCCAATATAATTGAAGAGTAGACGTGTCATTTTGCAGATTCTTCTTTAGGAACACTAGGCATACTAACGTCACTTTATTTTATTTATCTATCTATATAAACTTCTTTTCCTTTTTCATTATTAATTTTGGCTAAAAACTCTTACTCACTATACACCTACGGAATAAAACTCTGTTTTCTTGCATTTAATCATTTCTTGCCTAATACTTACTTCAAAAAACAAAACCCTAAAAGGGATTGATTCGCCGCCAGAATTTCTTCTCTCCTCTCCCCATTTAACCTTCATCACCTCTCTCATTAGCTCACAGTTTTCTTTACCTGTTCTATGTTGAGAAAAAAGAACTTTCTTGGAGTTTAATTAGTCAAAGATTCTATTTTTATCAACATAAAAGGGTCCAATTTTCAGCTTGTACATGTGGGTTTTTGTATTTTTAAGGTTTATATGATAAAGTTTTGGTTCTTTTACCTTTCTTGGGTTGCTAGGTTTTGTGGGTACTGATTGTTTTTGTTCTAGAATTGAGTATATAATTGGTCTTTGATCATGGAGCTTTCTTGGTGCTATTTTATTTGATCAAAGTTTTGATTTTTATGAGCTGAAAGCTTTGATTTTGAGGTTGTACAAGTGGGGTTTTGTAGTTTTAAGGTTTATGTGAATCTTTCTTTTTAAAAACCTTTCTTGGGTTGCTAGGTCTTGTGCGTATTGATTATACTTGTTGTGTAATGAGGGTATACATAATTGTTCTTTGATCATGGAGCTTTCTTGGAATTATATTTGATCAAAGATTGGGTTTTTAAGAGCTTATAGCTTTGATTTTGAGGTTGTGCACGTGGGGTTTTGTAGTTTTTAAGGTTTATATATATGCCAAAGTTTTGGTTTTGAATAGCTTTCTTGGGTTGTTAAGGCTTGTGGGTATTGATTATATTTGTTGTGGAATGAGTGAGTGAAGATGGTATCTGAATTGGGTAGGAGACCGATGATTGGGAACAATGAAAATACATTTGGAGATGAGTTTGAGAAAGAGATTGGGATGTTACTTCATGATCAGCGAAGACAAGATGCTGACGATCGTGAAAAGGAGCTGAATATGTATAGAAGTGGCTCGGCTCCACCTACTGTTGAGGGTTCATTGAGTGCAGTGGGTGGATTGTTTAACAATAATGGTTTCATGTCTGAGGAGGAGCTTAGGTCTGATCCTGCTTACTTATCTTACTATTACTCCAACGTAAACCTTAATCCTAGGTTGCCTCCTCCACTTTTGTCCAAAGAAGATTGGCGGTTTTCACAGAGGTTGCAAGGAGGGAGCTCCGCTATTGGTGATAGGAGGAACGTAAACAAGAATGATAATAATGGTAATGGTAGGAGGTCACCCATGCCTCCAGGATTTAACTCAAAAAAAGCGGAGAGCGAGAATGAAACGGATAAATTGCAGGGTTCAGTGGAATGGGGTGGTGATGGGCTGATTGGTTTGCCAGGACTAGGACTAGGTAGTAAAAAGAAGAGCATTGCTGAAATATTCCAGGTGCATGCTTCAAACTTTATCGAGTGTATTTTTTGTTTGTTTTTACAATTTCAACGTTGACTATTGGATGTTAGATTCCAAGATTCAGGTATTAAATGCTTTTGAAAGTGCCGCAATTAACGTTTGGTATTTAATGCTTCGTGAATTTTGCTCATTTATGTTACTGCCCGAATGGTATGTTTGGTATAGAAGGAAACAGTCCAACAAGTTTCCTTGAGGTGTTTTGGCTGTATTTGGCATTTTCGAATTGTGGAAATATTTTATTGTTGTGTGGCATGAATGCTAGGTGATAATCGATTTGTCTTTCTATTGAACCGCTTTGTTTACATGATGGTTTGGTAGACGTGTAACTCCATTTCACTCAATAATCTCTGCTAAGCTGATGAGATTTGAGGCAGTTCTGCATCTCCGAAGCCAACAATTTAGCATTATAATTAAAGGGGCGCCTTCAAAATTTTCATTTAATCTAACTTTCTCTCTATTTATTTATTCTTTTCTATCTCAAATTTTTATATTGACAATTCATCTAGACATATATGACATAAATGAGCATTTTTTGTTCCATATATGAGAATGGTTTCTGCGATCACATGATAAAAACAAAATATTGTGACAATTAATGATATCAAGTGGGCTATTGGCTTTGAGAAAGTGTGGGCTCAGTGTGTTCCAATAAGAGCAAGCATTCATGTCAATCGGAACAATGTATTATTCATATATGGGACTAGATTTTTGCATTAGGAGGGCAAGAGCAAAATAGTGTAACAATTGATGATAGTCTATGTTGCATTTCTATGTATACTTAGTATAATGCAGTAAGTTCATAGGCAATATAAGATACTGATATTGCTATATTAAGGAAAAAATAGAAATTCCTTATGTTGCGAATATATATATTTGTTTATGGATTACAAGACTACAGGTATGCTGTATCATTTAGAAATTTTACCAAGGAACAAGTAGATGTTGGTTTTGTAATTGCAAGTTAGATTTTTCTTTTGGAAAGCCCGGTGAAATTATTGTGAAATTGCTTTTGGCTGCTTGTTTCAGTGGAGGTTATATCTCAACTTTCAGACCTCTTTTGCTTCTCCAAGTTGTGCCCCTTAAATAGAATGCCTTTCAATAGTTAGCAACTCTTTAACTCCAACATTCCACATGGCATATTTAACACCACAAAATTCAAAAGTTTCCTTATTTTTCTTAAATTCTGTGCCTAATCAAACTAGGGCACATAAATTGAAATGGAGGGGGGGGGGGATCTTATTTTGTCTCGGGAGAATCCTTTTTTACGTTTTATCTCGAGAAAGAGAATTTAACATGATCATCTGATGGGTTTTAAGCCATGTTTCATCCAGGATGACTTCAGCCGTGTGTCACCTGCTCCTGGTCACCCTTCACGGCCAGCTAGCCGAAATGCTTTTGACAGAAGTGGTGATGCAGCAGAAGCTGAGCTTTCTCATCTTCGTCACGAGTTTTCTTCTTCAAAACCTTTAAGGTCTGCATCAAGCACTCAAATCCCATCCGATGAGGTGGCTGCTTCCTATTCATATGCTGCTGCTTTGTCAAGAAGTACCACTCCTGATCCCCAACACATTGCGAGGGCTCCTAGTCCTTGCCTTACTCCTATTGGTGGAGGGAGGGTAGTCAATTCAGAAAAGAGAAGTGTTAATAGTCCAACTGAGTCTCCAGAGCTTGTTGCTTCTTTTTCTGGCATGAATCTATCTAATGGTACGTCGGATGACATCATTTCTCAGATTGAACAAGATGTTGGTTTTAATACTATATATACACACCAATCTTGCAGGTGGGCAGAATAACACAAAGCAGCATGAATTCTTGAAGCAATCTGAATCCCCACAGTTCAATAGGGCTTCTACTGCTCAGTCTGCAAAAGTACCATATTCTGTCGGCTCAGACCTTAATAGTTCTAACCCCCAAGCTGTTTTCTCCAATAGTTCATACCTCAAAGGATCGGGATTGAATAGTGGAGGTGGCGTACTTCCTCAGTATCCACATTTGGATAGTCCAAATTCATCTTTTTCTAATTATGGTTTAAGTGGTCATTCTCTCAGTCCAATGTCAAGCCATCTTGGCAACTATAATTTGCCACCTTTATTTGGAAATGCTGCTGCTGCATCAGCTATGGCTGTACCTGGATTGGACTCTCGGATGTTGGGGGGATCTAATTTGAGCGCAGCAACCTCAGAGCATAATCTCAGTAGAATGGGAAATCAAATGGGTGGACCGTCATTCATGGACCCTATGTATCTTCAGTACTTGACAGCTGAATATGTTGCTGCTCTAAACGATCCTTCCTTGGATAGGAACTACATGGGAAATTCGTATATAGACTTGCTTCAGAAAGCTTATCTTGGTAATGTTGTACCTCAGAAATCTCAGTATGGAGTCAAAAGCAGTGGTTCAGGTCATCATGGCTATTATGGAAATCCTGCGTTTGGAGTTGGTTTGTCATATCCTGGAAGTCCTTTAGCAAGTCCTGTCATCCCAGGCTCTCCAGTGGGACCCGGTAGTCCTATGAGGCATAGTGATTATAATAATATGAGACGAATGAGAAACATAGCTGCTGCAGGTGTCATAGGACCATATCACTTGGATGCTATGGAAAACAGCTTAGCGTCCTCCCTACTGGAAGAGTTCAAAAGCAACAAGACCAGGTGTTTTGAACTTTCAGAAATTGCAGGCCACGTTGTTGAGTTTAGGTAAACTTGCTCTTATGTGTTTTTTCCTACTTGGACTACCTCTGTTTTTTTCCTACTTGAACTAGCCTCAATATATATTATCTATGATCAGTGCCGACCAGTATGGGAGCCGATTCATTCAGCAAAAGCTGGAAACTGCCACCACTGAGGAGAAAAACATGGTGTTTCAGGAAATTTTTCCCCAAGCTCTTACTTTGATGACTGATGTCTTTGGAAATTACGTAATCCAGAAGGTATGTGGTGCATGTATCTTCCTATCTGTCCGGTTTCTCTCTAAATTGATCATAATGTCCATATATCTCTTGCAGTTTTTTGAACATGGAATGGCATCTCAGAGGAGAGAATTAGCTGGCAAGCTCTTTGGGCATGTATTAACACTGAGCCTTCAAATGTATGGTTGTCGCGTCATACAGAAGGTATACCAAATTGTTTCTAGAAATGCTCATAAGTGTTATCTGTTAGTGTTAATCTTTTGCTTTGGTTCTTATTCTGTTTGGTTCACTATACAGGCAATAGAAGTAGTCGACGTGGACCAGAAGATTGAAATGGTTGAGGAGCTTGATGGTAATATCATGCGTTGTGTAAGAGATCAGAATGGGAATCACGTTATTCAGAAGTGTATTGAATGTGTACCAGAAGATCACATTCAATTTATCGTCTCGACATTTTTTGGACAAGTTATTACTCTCTCCACCCATCCATATGGCTGTCGAGTAATACAGGTAGATGAGTAGTGTGTCTTATCCATTTGGATTAGTAATTTTAGTGTTTTATATTTACGAATATTCCTTGATCTGTCAGAGAGTATTGGAACATTGTAGTGATCCAGAAACCCAAAGTAAAGTGATGGAAGAAATCCTGGGATCTGTTAGCATGTTGGCACAAGATCAGTATGGTAATTATGTTGTTCAGGTATGGAATACTTACTATCTATATATGTTGCTGCTGCTGGTGTCTTGACTGTCTTATTTTTTTTTGATAAGGTATCTTGACTGTCTTATTTAGAAGCAATTATTTCCATTTTCTTTTTCTTGAGTTAGTAGTTCGTTATATCTGTTGTATTTTACACAATATCCCCACTTCTTGACTAGTATGGAGCAATGCGTAAAATGTATCTGAGTTGGTGATTCCTGAATTTGTTGTTGGTATGGGCACATGTTTTGCTTATTTTAGACTATGGTAATATTGCACAATTCATTCAATTTTTTGATGGCTGTCTTGCTTCTTTATGATGTACTAGGAGAACATTGTTGTGTCACTGCTAAGTGCCAAAACGAGGTCATTGATTTTTACTATAAAGGCATTTGGTTGGTGAAGCGAAATCTTTTGCAAATTGTTTTGTTTTCCTATTTTGGAAATTTTATTTGTTTGCAAAGTATTCCCCTTCTTTTTTCCCTTAAAAATTAGAACCTTTGAAAAACTAAAAATAGATGTTTTTTTTCCTTTGCCGAAAGAAGAAAAAAAAAAGGGGAAAAAAACCACAACCAAAACAAACAAAGTTAGAAATTTGAAAAATTATTTGCAAAAAATTTTCAATCAACTTTCCAACTACATGAACATGCCCATTCACCTGGTTCTCTAGTGCTGCCAATGTATGCTGCTGTCCTTAACATGATGCTAAACGGGGAACCTGTTCTGGCTAGAAAAAAGAATTTTGTAAGTAATGGGATTTTCCCTCTTTGATACCTCAAAAACCTTTCTTTCTTGCTGCCTTCCATTTGTTTTGCTAAAGCGCTAGTGTTTGAAGAAGCTTCTTTTGGTCAACTAAATTTTTGTTTGTGCTAACAACACTTTGCTATATTAGCAAACATGTCTTTCATTCCTATACTGAGGTACAATTCTACCTTCTTTTTTTCTTCTCCTTTTTCTTCCATTTGTTGTTTTAAATGCAACACTTGCAGCATGTACTGGAGCACGGGAAGCCGCATGAGCGCTCTACCATAATTCAGGAACTAGCTGGGAAGATTGTGCAAATGAGCCAGCAGAAGTTTGCCTCTAATGTTGTAGAGAAGTGTTTAACTTATTGTAATTCCAGCGAACGACAGCTACTGGTGAATGAGATGCTTGGTACGACTGATGAAAATGAGCCTCTTCAGGTTTGTCTAAACTTTAGCCTTGAACAATCATTTGTCAACCGCGCTTCATCTGTAAGTGATGTTTCCTGTCTCTTAATTTGAGTCATTAGACCCTCTAAAGCAACTGCGCTTTATGTCAAACTGAAATTATGGAGTCTTGAATTAAATCAACTAGATTGCAAGAATGATTGGTGCCAGCGTGTCTAGACCTCTATTTATCCCCAGCTGGATGATGAGCGGCATTGGACTTCCCCTTAACATGTTTGAAAGGACGTGAGGACTAAGACGCATGCTGATGTCGCATATTAATGTGTTTAATTATTCACCATTTCCAAGCAAATCACATATTGGCAGCAGAGAACAGCTGGATTTCTGACATTTGTATTATGCTCGTGCTTTTGGACATTCTGGCCTGTTCCCCCTTTAAGTAGAAATAATTCATGTGCCTTGTGACCCTGTAGCACCAGAGTTTTGATGCCGAGACTGTTGTCTTGGAAAAGCAAAAGAGTAAGAGATGTCTTGGAGCATTGGGTAGTTCCCTAATTTCTGCTGGACTTCGCCCTTAAAGAAATAGTCCTAGTTGTTGAAGCGGAAGAATTACTGTGAGCTTTAAGCTAGACTTCTTGTACTATATTCCAGTTGGACTTGAATGAAGCGTGATGGATATAGGACTCTTACACCCTACCCCGACTAATTTGGGATTATGGCGGAGTTGGTTGCTTGATGGGTTTCTATGTTGGGAACTTCCTTTCTCCCCGCCTTGTACCTTTTTTCAATGATCTCACTTTATATTTGACCCACAATAAGTATCCCAAATACTGAAAGTTTTGAGGATGGGCCACCTACAACTCCATGTTGGCTAGCTAAGAAGAAAGTCTTTTCTTGAAAGCTTTTGGCTAAAACATTTGTGCTGCTAATATAAAAACGTAAATTAGTTATACCATTTCAAGCTCCATTGTAGCCTGAAAACAGTGCTACCTACATATTCAATGCGTTTAGTTAGAGGCTCAAAATTTCTGCTGGACAATCATTACGTTAGTGTATGCCAAAAGGATTTCCTCAAATGTCATGAATTAGTTTTCTATGATGTTTAACTCTTGATTTGTCTATGTTATGCTATTCAATCATGAAAATCGTACCTTAGTGATATTTGCATTTTAATTTTTGCATCTATGGGAATACAATTCATGTAGGGAGTACAGTCACATAGATAAGTGATTGTGATAATGGTGGTATTTAGTGCATCATATAAATTTTTAGTCTTGCTTCTCACGTTCTCATTAAAAAGGTGAGAAGCCTTGGTTTTAAAATGTGCATCATGTTTCCTCATTTTTCTTCTTTTTGTCCAGGCTATGATGAAAGATCAGTTTGCGAATTACGTTGTACAGAAAGTTTTGGAAACTTGTAGCGATCAGCAACGTGAGCTGATCATGTCGAGGATAAGAGTTCACTTGAATGCTCTGAAGAAATACACTTACGGAAAGCATATTGTTGCTCGTATTGAAAAACTTGTTGCTGCTGGGGGTAAGCAGTTTCCTGTTTGCATTTGGCTGGAGCATTGGATGCATCACTTATTCAACTTCAAATACACTTTTTCTAAAATCAGATCAATTAAATATTGTCCGAACGCCATTATTAAATGATATGTTATTCTGTTTTGCAGAAAGAAGAATTGCTGCTCAGTCCCTAAGTCCTGCTTAGTCTTGTAGGAAAGAAAGTTGTACAGCTAACTGAGGCTAGTTTGAGCTACCTATCTTTCTTTTCTCCTACATCTAGTGTTTTTAACTCCATACATGTCTTCAAAGGTATGGAGTAAATTGCAAATAAAGTTGTTGCATGTACTAGAGAACTGTAAATTGTGTAGTTAAAACATAAAATCAGGTATGCTGAAGCTTAGATGTCATATATTCGAGATCGGCTGTGCGGAGGAAGTCTCGTCTCCAAAGGGTGTAAAAAATTTATCAGACGACGAGGCAGTTTATTGTACAAATGTTGCCATGTGGAGAGTTGATGTTTAGGTGGTCAGAATTTCCATGTATGGGATTTGACAATTTTCTTTTATGGTTAAGTGTATTTTCCTTTATCTCAGATTCTCAGTTTACTACAATTTTATGAGACTATGATTTCTTTATCTCGGTGTTCTTGAGCTGAGGGTCTATTGGAAACAACCTTTACCTTCATAAGGTAAGGGTAAGGTCTGTGGTTGTGAGATTTGGTTGCAGTAGATGCAGCTCAAGCGACATTATGATCTCATAATAATCGCCTCTAAGGTGCATTTTCTTAGCCTATTGATTTAAGCTACTGATCACGCCCGTTTCTAGGCACGAAGGATTAGTAGCGGTGGCCAAGTATAATCGGCTGAAGAGTTCGGAGTCAAATCCTAGAGAGAACTAACATATAGTTATAGCTACTCAATATCACTAAAAAAGCAGGTTAAAACACATTTGATTCTACAGATTGTAGGTTTTTATTTACCTAATTGACTAATGACTATATACAGCAATAAAAATAAGTAACTAAGGAGATAAGGTGTGTCAATGATAAAGCCTGGGATAGTGATTTCTCTAATTATCTGGATGAGTNTTGTTGCAAATAATTGGGAATATGGTTTGGAGTTTATATCTCAATTTTGAGGGGTTTTGGTGAAAATTAGACTTGATTTGGCTTAATTTCAGATTGAAACCCGAAGAAGAAGAAGAAGAAGACATGACATACATTATGTTGCAGAAATTATAGAAAAATTGTAGAAAAATTATATTCTGTTGTTTATTTATTTTTCTTTTATTTATTTAACTATTGTATGAAAGTTGAAAAAACAAAAACTTAGGATCATATCAGCTATGTATAACTGTTCGCGATTTCAACATGGAATTGAGTATCACCAATGAGAACACATTTACATGTTTGTGTTGTTACATTTTATATCCAATTCTGGTTGTATATAAATGTCCTACACTTTATCTACATTTTATCTACAAATAAACTACATGTCAGAGTAAATATATATATCAGTATGGGTTTTCACAATATCTACAAAATTTCTACATTTATTCTACAATAAAACTACATATCATTTGAAATATTAATATGAAAATACAGAATTTTAATGTATCTACAAAATTTCTACAAACTGTTCATAACAAAATTTATCTTTACTTTCATGCATGTTCGTCTGGAACACTAAAGTTACTTGATGTGCCAACATCTCCCGTTATAGAGGAATACAACTTATCTATAATTTTCTACAACTTTCACACATTATTTCCACCCAATTAAATACAACTATAATAACATAAAACTTACATACACATTTTATACAAAATTTATATAATATGTCTTTTGTATATTTTGTATCTAATTTATACATAGTAAAAATAAATTTCATAAAACTAATTATATATTATACAAATTATCTACAATGTTCGTACATTATTTCTAGTAAGTTATAAGTACACAACTACAATATAATACCACTTAAATACTATTTTTATACAATGTTGTTCAACTTTCATACAATCGTTAAATGAATAAACGAAAAATAAATAAACAACAGAATATAATTTTTCTACAATGTCTGCAATATAATGTATGTCATGTCTTCTTCTTCTTCTCCTTCGAATTTCAATATGAAATTCAGCCAAAACCAAGTCTAATCTTCACCAAAAACCCTCAAAATTGAGATATAAACTCTAAACCATTTTCCCGATTATTTTCAATAACACCCAATCCAAATAAATAATGATTTTTGAAAACCCAAATTTGAATTCAAAGCTTTCAAGCTTTTTAATGGCTGTCAATGGTGGAATTGCCGCTCTCTTTTCATTTGCTTTGTATTACTGAAATTTGCGATTGAGAAATAGAGAGAGATGTAGAGAAAATGTCGACGAACTGAGCTTTTGCAGAACTGATTTCTACAATTTGATTCGAATTTGTTGACGATTTTGTCTTTTTTTGATTTGTGGCTTAAGGAAAAATATTGAAGAACAGAGTTTTTGCAGAAAAGAGTCTATGTAATTTGATTTTAAATTGAAGATATAGGATTTGCGTTTCAAATTTGATCTGAAGGTCGCTAAATCAATTAGAATATTCTGTTCCTGATTTGTAGCGCGCCTAATTAGGAAGGAATCAGCTCCTAATAATTAGTATTTAATGAATGGTATAATAATTGTAGAAAAACTATGAACATGGCGGGTAAATATGAAACTATGCACATTTTTGATAATAAGGTTTCATATATGGTATAGGAAGGAAAAAGTCTCTAGTTTTAATCCCGCTTTTAAGTCTTCAAAATTAAACTCTTAGGCCTCATTTGTTTTTATTAAGATTAAGACGTCTGAATCTGAATACACATCTGAATATCAAGATGTGTATTAAGATTAAGACATATGTATGTGTATTAAGATCTGAATAGAAACAATTAAGACTGTTTGATTTTTAACATCTGAATGTATAAAATTTATCTTTATTTGAAAATTAATAAACATAAAATTCAAATGAAATACTAACTAATCTAATATTCTATCGATAAAATATATAGTTTTTTAAAATATGACAGTTGTTGGTGGTGATGGCTAACAGGTGAATGTCGACTAGAGGCGGTGGTTGGTGGTAGTTTTGATTGATGATGATGATTCATGCTAGTAGATAGTAGTGATTGATAGTGGTGACGATTATGATTGAGGATGGTGGTGGTGTGTGGTGATAGTTAATAATGGAGGGTGGTGGTAATAGTTGTGACCGAGGAAGGTAGTGGGTGGGTGGTGGTAGGTTATAAGATGTGCAGTACTGGCTGTGGTTGTTGATGGTGAAAGTTGTTCAACAATAACCTAATCGTGTAATCTTTCTCAAGCAAAACAAGACATAACGACACATTTAATCAAGAATTCTTCAATTAACTACAAGCAAAATGTAGTTGAACAAATAGATCGTAGAAATGACTTAGTTATAGATAAATACTGTTAACACATCACCTAATAATTGGTTCAAATGGATTGGCAGAGCTTTTGTAAGCATACTCAAAAACAGAGAGAAGGTAAGACCGCGGCCGAATAATTCATAATATTTTTAAGATCATAAGTAACAAAAACCTTTTTTCCCTTAAGTTTTATGCATAATTGAAATATCACATAAATTGAATTGGCGAAGTTCTATCCTTTAAATAAACTAATAAATGCTAATCATAAATAAGATTGTGTTTCAGACAATTAATGATTCTTGCAAAAGGCCTAAGAAGAAGGACAAAAAAATCTACATGTAAAGTATAGATACATATTACCTCCGTCTTAATTTATGCGGCTCCGTTCGAATTTCAAGAGTCAAATATATTAATTTTGATGATGTTTGAACATAGAATCTTTAAGCTTTTTGACATTAAATTTATATTAATTAAAAAATTACGTAAAAAATATTATAAGTTACAATAATTTACAATTCAAAATATTAAAAATACATATAAAAAATTACGATAAAAAATTTATTTGACTCTTAAAGTCGAACGATGACACATAAAATGAGGGGGATAGAATATTTAGCTTGTTTGGATTGTTGTTACATGTCGTTTCATAATGTATCATATTGTATTGTACTATATATCATATTGTATTGTTTGATAAATACAATATTTGAATAGATTGTACCGTTTGTCGTTATTTCATGATGTCACGCACCAATATTACTAAGAAAAAATAGGATACGACGAAGTAGAATCATTATATAAAAAAGTAGGATAAATGATAAAATATATTTATTTAATAACAACGAAGGGCAAAATAAGAGGGAAAAAATAAGGTAATGACATAACCACACCAAATTCATCATCACATAAAGTGACACTTTTCATCATTACGTAATGACGGGTTTAACGATACAATACAATAAAATAAAAATTAAAACAAATATTAAATTTAAAATAACAATATGATACAATACAACAGGTAACACCCTTCAAACAAGCTGTAAACTAGAAAAGAGAAAAGCAAAAGAGGACACATACTAAGAGCCCGTTTGGACATAAGAAATTTTTCCTTTCTTTCCAAAGTATTTTTATTTTTTTTCGAAATTAGCGTTTGTTCATAAAATTTTCAATTTTCACTTGAAGAAGCATCTTCAAAATTTTTGAAAATGTGAAATACTCCAAAAAGCTATTTTTCAAAATTTTCACTCAAATCACTTACAAAACTTCAAAAACAACCCAAAATTCTATTCATGTCGAAACACTACTCTAAATTTCAAATACCATTTTCACTTGAAAAAAAATTTCACCCTGTTCTGAAATTTTACAATTCTTATGTCCAAACGCCCACTAAGAGCCCGTTGGGACATAAGAAATTTTTCACTTTTTTTCGAAATAAGCGTTTAGTCATAAAATTTTAAATTTTCACTTGAAAATGCATTTTGGAATTTTTCGAAAATTTGAAAAACTCCAAAAAGCTGTTTTTCAAAATTTCACTTAGATTACTCACAAAACTTCAAAAATAACCCAAAATTATATTCATATCCAAACGCATAAGCATCGCCTCTCGATCCAATCCATCTTCCCCGGCCTCCCCAACACACTCTTGATACGAAAGCTCCCGCCATAGAGAAGAGATCGAAAGTCTGGGTCCCCTTGATCACCCTCCCTTGAACCTGAACTGGTCGAGAGAGATGAACACGCACCACATTTTTTCGAATCGAAACCAACTCTCATTTTTTAATTTTTTTTCAAATTTTACAATTCTTATATCCAAACGCCCACTAACACAATGTTGATAAGAGGAAAGCGAGAGAGATATTTCATAAGATTCTTAAGATAGAAAAAATATCTAGCTAAGCCATCCACGCTGGCAATCTGGTGGGCCAATTTAGAATCAGATATGCACTTTTTCTCACGCCTTTTCTCCTTTATTTATTCCATATTTTCCACCGCCCCATACCCCACCCCCTCTTTCACCCACCCCACACTCTCCGTCTTCTTCTCGCCGGTGAAATTCACCTGGAAATCCTCTCTTTCTCTGATCCAATCCTCTACTGAAATCACGGCAGATTTCATTAACTTGAGTATTTTTTAAAAAAAAATTGTAATAAAAAAGAAAAAAATTGTAAGAAGTTCTATGGGCGAAGAAGTGAAAATCACCGGCGGTGATGCTTTCGCCGGGGACGATAACCGTGTTCTCGAGTGGGAAGACGGACTTCCGAGTCTCGACGATCTAACGCCGTTATCTCAGGCGTTAATCCCACCGGAACTCGCGTCGGCGTTCAAAATATCGCCGGAGCCGGCGAAGACGATGACCGACGTCAATCGTGCTTCGGAGAACACGTTCTCGTCTCTCCGAGGCAGTGGACCGTTGCAACAATTACACATTCTGTCCTCACCGGAAACGGATCCGACGGAAAACGGATCGGATCCGAGGAAGACCCGAAGGATTGACCCGGAGATGTTAGACGCGGATTCAGCATTACTGAGGAATGAGAATTGTGGAGGAGGAGATGATAGTAATAATAATTCAGCGTCTAAGACGCTGAACAAGCGGCCGCGACTCGTGTGGACGCCGCAGCTGCACAAGAGATTCGTGGACGTGGTGGCTCATTTAGGGATAAAAAATGCGGTGCCAAAGACGATTATGCAGTTAATGAACGTGGAAGGATTAACGCGGGAAAATGTTGCAAGCCATTTGCAGAAGTATAGGTTGTACTTGAAGAGAATGCAAGGGCTGTCAAATGAGGGGCCCACTTCTTCCGATCATTTATTCGCGTCCACACCCGTGCCACAGAGTCTGCAGCAGTCCGGTGGTAATGGCCATAACAGTAATGGTCATAATAGTAATGGTCATAATGGTAATGGTCATGCGCAGATGCCAATGCCTATGCCAATGCCAATGATGTATCCCCCACAAATGGTGCCAATGCCTATGATGGGAATTTCAGGACATGGACATGGACATGGGTTTCATCATCAGTATAATATGGGGGCACAACAACGAGACTGGTCTGGAAATAAATTTGGTTCTTATCATCATGTTGCTCCTAGTGAAAAATAGCTATAGTAGACAAGAAAAAAGAGGTAATTCTTGGTTTATAAAACTTGCAACTCTACTGTTTGTGAACTTTTATTGTGTATGCTAATAGATAATTGCTTGTACAGGGTTGGTTACTGGATTGGTCCATCAGGAAGATTCTCACTTGGTGGATTGCAAACTAGGAATTCCAGTTAGTATCATTTAGGCTTTTTTTACTTGTTTAGATTTGGTAGATTTATAGGGACAAAAATTTCATAAATTGCTCTAAATTTCATAAATTGCTCTAAATTTCTTAGAGCATATTGGCCTAAGATGAGTTTAAATGGAGTAACATGGTCAGTGAGGATTCATACGGCCAACCCCATCTTATTTGGGAATAAGGCAAACTAGTAGTAGTTGCTCTAAATTTCTTAGAGCCATGTCATTTTTGGTTGTAGCTTCTTATTCTGCAAGGAGCTTAATACATAATTAGAGAACAAGATAGACTTGTTGTTTCGATCACACTTTTCTTGAAAGATAGTACAATAATTTCGGATTCTCTTTTTCCTTTTCTATTAGTAACTATTGTAGTGCATCTTTTGGTGTGCTTATGGATTTATTATACAAAATTGAGGGCAAAACCAGGATTTTCCTAGAAGTAGGTGTATACGCTATAGGAGTGACTTCTTACTCTTCATCTTTTTTACCACTTGCTTTTTTGGTTGATTGCAGATTTTATTTTTGGGTCCCAAAAACTATGACAAAAAAGAAAACTAGTTCTAAGAATTTGCGGGCCATTATAGCATTTTATCTAGCTGTTAGTGTTGGGTGAAATATTATGAGTTCTGGAAGTGGATTTTTGCTGAAATACCTATTTTAATTTCTATAGCTGCTGAAAACTTCTTTTGTCCTCCTCTTGAAATTGATGCAAACTAAGAGTGATGGTCAACTAAGAAAATATAATGCATTTTCAGCGCCACAACCACCACTTCAATGGAGGAAATCAACCCGTTCTAATTTTGTAATAAGCTAGTAAGAAGGGTAGCATGGTGTACAAAGCATCCCGCGCTCACGCAGGATCCGGGGAAGGGAAGGGCCGCACCCCCAGGGGTGTGATGTAGACATCCTACCCCAATGCAAGAGTTAGTGGCTGTTTCCACTGCTCGAACCCATGACCTGTAGGTCACACGGAGGCAACTTTACCGTTGCTCAAAGGCTCCCCTTCTGTAATAAGCTAGTGTAAAGCAAAGAAATCTCTTAATTTTATCCTCCAACATATTTTAGCAGTAACTATCATAACACCTTGAGTGAAATCATTTTCTTGCGATCATATTTATTTTTGCATTCTAGAAATATTTCTGCTGTATCTATTGTGATGATCTACCACAATAGACTCAATAATGTATTAGGAACGTTGTCAGCTTCTCTAACATGGTTATATGAAGCTTTATCCTTCTTCGCCCAGTTTAAAGCCATATTTACTTTCTATAACAGAATACTTGATTGTACCATATGTAATTGGCCGACTTCATATCTCCTAAATTATTGTGCTTTCTTCAAGTTGAGTAACAATTAAAAACATTTCATTTGGTTGCGTTTTCTCTGAGGTGGCTTTAGGTTTCCCAAAACACCTAGATAATCTACTACCCTGTTTCCCTTGTAATAATGAACATGATATGAAATTCTTTGGGAGGACCCAGTAACTCAATGTCTTATTTGCCCTTACTAAATTAATCAATTTTTGTGGGGCATATATATTTTTTAACCATCTATTTTATGAGTGAAATCATATGGTATTAAATTTTGAGAAGCTTTGATGAATATCTTTTGTGCACCACTTGGTTCACAATTTCACTAGACCTCAAGTAACTTCTCAGGTAACGTTGCTCGTGCTTGAAGCCTTCTATTTATATGTGTGCCCTTTTCCCCGTTTCGATATATATATATGTATATGTCTATGTGAATGTGTCTTGTACTTTTCCTTTCTTTAAGCTAGTTAAAAGAAGCAACAGTGGGTAGGTAAAGTTCTGCTGATTATTGTAAGATGCTGCATTGCACCTTCTTCAGTACTTTCTCTTATTTTTTCTCGTCCTTCAAAGTGTTAAATGGGATATCTTTTATATGCAACTTCTATTGCTTTGAAACTCCGCCTATGTGAGCTTTGCAAAGCATAGCCGGTCCCAAGCCCGGATAAAGGAGGAGGGTTGCTGGGCAACATTAAACTAATGTAACTAGGAAGAATCTCTGAGTACTCTAGATGACTCCAGCTAAACCAGATGTTATTCGTCTTCCTGCTTTAGTCGAAACTTTCATGTGGGTGCAATGAATCATAGCTCATGGAACTAATGGGGAATTTGAAATGATTTTGATAAATTGTGGAGTTTGAAACTTTTTTGTAAACTAACGACTTTTGATGGTGGCTGATTAGAAAATGAGTGGAAGTTGATATCCTTTCTTCTCGTTCTTGTAGGTCATTCTAGATTGATGCAGGCATCAATGTTGTCCACACTATGCCTCCCCCAATTCCATGGGAGATGGTTTTTCTTTAATTTTCTTTAACTTTATTAACTACTTGATTCTGTTTGTTTTGCCTGAATATCATGATGTTCCTTTACTATCTAATAAATGTATCGTGGTTCGGTTTCCGCTTGTTTATTGATGAACATTAAATGTATTGCTTTGGTTAATAATTGAACAGCCCAAGTTTCTTTCAGATTAAACTTAGTTGGCTTTCCTAATTGTGTTTCTGGTGCTGTAGTTTCTCTTTCTTCTTACAACTCATCTTTCTCCTTGTATCTGCTATGCGTCACTATGAGTGCATGTATTAGCAACTCTCCTGTTAGGTGGGAGAGGCAACGAATTTCATGCTTTTTAGCGCTGAAAGCACCAGTCACCACCTTCGTATAGCACAGGTTTTTAGACAATTTCAGAAAACATCTTTGTGCAGGTATAAAAGACTACTGCTCCAGGTGCACACTCAAAGAGTGGTACTAAAGAAATTCTTTTAATTCTCTTTGCGAAATATACTGTCCCTATGTTTCTTGTTCTTGTCAGATGGTAACTGGCTCACTCAGGTGTTCTTTATCTTCTGATTATTTGGTAGCAGATCCTGTATGGATAGTTGCTTATTTTTTATTGTCGGAAACATAGCTTTGCTTATCATGTGTACTGTGTACGATGAAGTATAATGTCTACAATTTGTGCTTGCTCTGCTATTCTGTGGATGTGCCAATCTTCGTACATAGATTATGAACTAGTATAATAGAATCCTGTGTCCATTTGTTTTCTTGATTACTTCCATTTGCCTTGTTCTTATGCTCTGGATGGACAGAAACCGTATTTTTGAACTTGACTGTAGGTATGGAATCATCTCCATACTGTGAAGTTCATCGAGCAATGGACTATAGGAAATCGCGAGTCACAACTGTACTCCAAAGAAGTCAAAAGAGCAACGTGGTTTGTTTCATCCGTCAATTACAGAGGGTTTTTGCAATTTAATCTCATTCTATCTTTGCTGGATAGATATTGCTCCTGCACAAGGATCAAAAGTCTCACATTCTTGTAACTTATTTCGAATCAGTGGTTTAACTGACTTACTACTTATTGGTTCACCGTGTGATTTTCTTGGTGTCCTCTTCTACTTAGTATTGAGTCATTTAACTTACTGGGGAGAAATGAAAATTTATTGATTTTAACTTATTTTCCACAATACTCCAGAGAATGGATAAACTAGTCCTATTGCAACAAAAGAAATATATATTCTGTTTATACCAGGGAAGTTTCTAGTTAGAATCACGTGGTTGCACTTGCATAGATGAATATCTATTCAAAACGCAGGTTTGCCGTTTGCCTTCACCCTGCAAACTCGTTATGTCTGCCAATGGTAAAAGCTTTACCCTCACGTTTTTTTTTTTTTTAGGGGGGGGGGGGGGGGGGGGTACTACTGATACATATTTCTTAAATCCCAGGCTACTGATACATTTTATTTACAAGGCTTTTGACTCTGAAGCTCAATGCAGCTCAAAGTAGTAGCCAATAATCCGAAAGAAACTTTAAATTCTGATTTCAGACCATACAACCCCCTCTTCAGTCACATGTTCCTTTGCCCTGAGCACTCACCTTAGCTGTGTGCTCTCCCCGTCTTGAACTAGCACACACCTTAGTTCTGGGCTAGTTCTTTGCCTCTAGAACTTTCGTCCTCTTAATGTGGCTGCTACCATCAACACAATCTGCTTCAACTTTTCCTCTTTAACTATTGCCCTGTGTAAGCTATTCAGTTGATATGTGTGACAAAGCTTTGCGTAATAATGAAAGGACAGAAATCTGGTTAAGACTCGGATTTGAAATCTCATTTTATAGGGGATATCTCATGCAGGTTTCCTGGTTTACCAAATTTGCCGAGCTTTGTAACTTGGTTTGATTTAAACCACGCATGTCCATTGGCAAATATATCCGACATTCAGCTCCTCTTACCATCTAAAAACTCATGCAACGTCTACCCAACTACAGCCAGGAAACTTTGTCAGCTTCTTCTTCTTGATCACCCTTTTCACCTTTGCAACATTTGCCCACTTACTTGCATCAGCATATAAACTTGATAGCAACACACTACTTCCAGCACTCTCAGGTTCAAGTTTAGCCAGTTGTTTAGCTGCAATCTCTGCTAAATCCATATTTCCATGCTGCCTACATGCTCCTAAAAATGCTCCCCAAACAAATAAATCAGGTTCAATTGGCATGCTTTGAATCAAATTGTAGGCCTCATCAAGTTTCCCTGCTCTTCCTAAAAGATCCACCATACATGCGAAATGCTCCAATCTTGGCTTAATCGCGTATTTATCCTGCATCATTTTGAACAAACTTTCTCCAAATTGAACCATTCGAGCATGACTGCAAGCAGTGAGAGCTGCTGTGAAAGTCAAGTGATCTGGTTTCCTTTCTTCCTCTCTTACCATTTGATTGAATAACTCAATTGCTTCACTGCAATACCCATGATTCGCATAGCCAAAAATCATTGAATTCCACGTCACGCTATTTCTTTCAGATGTCTTGGAAAACAATTCCTTTGCTTCAGATATAAATCCACATTTTGCATACATATCTATGAGAGCACTTTTCACATATACATCTTTCTCAATCCCTGTCACCACTGTATAACCATGTATCTCCTTACCAAGCATCAAGTCGGCAACAGTTGCACAAGCAGGCAATATACTACTGATTGTAGCTGAAGTTGGGCACAACCCAACATCCAACATTCGTTTAAACATACCAAAAGCTTCCTTGTTATGAAAATTCTGCACAAGCCCAGAAATAATACTAGTCCAAGAAACTACATCTTGCTCAAGACCATCATCATGCATCAGTTCAATAACTTTACAAACCATAACCTGATCATCTTCTTGTGAAAACCCCGCGATCAGAGTGTTGTATGTCACCACATTAGGCTTCATTCCTTGAACTTTCATCTGCTCAACTAATACCAACGCGTCATTGACAATCCCATATTGAAGATAACCCGAAACCAAAGCATTCATTGCCACCAAATCTTTATCCACCATACCATAAAACACCCTTTTCGCCTTCTCAACTTTACCACACTTTGAATACATATCTATCAATGCACTAACTACATATGAGTCAAATTCAAACTCATTCTTCAGAATCACACCGTGTAATATCTCCCCTGTCCGAAAATCACCGAAACGTCCACAGGCTTTGAGAACACTGGGAAGAACAAACTTATTAGGCTTCATTCCTTCCCTTTGCATCTCAGAGAAAACACTCATTGCTTCCTCATAAAACCCATGTCGAGCATAGGCTCCAATGAGAACAATCCAACGGCGAATATTTGATTGGGGAATTTTGTCGAACAGTTTACGTGCATGGGATAACTGTTTACATTCTGCATAAAAAGCAATAAGCTTGGAGGCAAAATGGGTTTTTTGAGCCAATCCATTGATAACCAAATGTGCATGTAATGTTTTGCCTGATTGGAGGGCGCCATTTTGAGCGTAGGCTTCGAGGAGTTTCGTGTATACGTCGGATGTGCCATTGAAGGAATGATAAACAATGGAGTTCGTAGAGATCCTGGTCGCTTTGGCTCCAATGACCATTTTAGTTAGCTTTGAATAACCTTAGCTAGAAGTCCCTGTGTCAAACTAACTGCTTTTGAGAGGGAAAAAAAAATACTCATAGTGCCGATCCTTTTAAAACAGAGGGATTTTTTTTATTTCTCACCCTATATTCGGTACCCACATTGGGGCCCGACTAATCCGGATTCGCGCCGGGAAGTCCCACATTAGGGGGTAAAACGCTCCCTGACAAAGGCGACTCCATGCCCAGGGGCTTGAACTCGAGACCTCTGGTTAAGGATGAAGGAGTACTTACCACTCAGCCACAACCCTTGTTGAACTCGAGACCTCTGGTTAAGGATGAAGCAGTACTTACCACTCCACCATAACCCTTGTTGGTAAAACAGAGGGATTACTACTTAATAGACTTTTTAAACCCAAATGGTCCCTTATTTCATATTTTTTTGGGTTTAATATGTACTATACAGTCTATACTATATAAAAAGGACTGAGATTTAACTCAACCTATATGTGTAGATGTTTGTCTGTTCTTTATTGTGTTTTCCACATACAAACTTTTATGTGAAATTGAAGGGATTATGTTACAACTTGCTACTTCAAACACCTTGACCTGATTAATATTGACTACACATAATTTTGGACAGATAACCATGTGTTTATTTACACACTGATATTTTATCAATCCATATAGCAAGATTACATAATAAATGGAGGTGAGAATTCATATGAATTAACTACAGTTAAGTTATAAATACTTATCGATTTGATATAAACATAATAAGTTTCTCCCGACAGCCCAAGTCAAAGTGGAAAACCTCTCAAACGGGGAATGATTTGACATAAAATGATTTTAAGATCTCCCGCATTTCACCTTTGCTACAACATAGCAAGACAAGCAAAATTAGCCAACCAAATTTATTACCAAGTTATAACAATACATAGCTACCTCGTGAAATACCCAGAAACTAATCTTGGTTACTGTACCAACCCAAGCTTCAAAGACAAATATTACGACTCAAATAACGTCAATTTAGACGTCTTACATCAAAATGGTTTTCTACGTGACCAATTTAGCCTCAATCAGATCATCTCCACTTGTGCAAAGTTGGGTCTTTTCACTGTTGGGATTCAAACCCATTGTCAGATTATCAAAATGGGTTTCGATTCAAATGTGTTTATCAACACTGCTGTTGTTGATATGTATGGAAAATGTGGTGTTATAAAACTAGCACAGAAACTGTTCGACGAAATGCCTGAGAGAAACGTGGTGACATGGAATGCTTTGATTTCTGGTTATTTGGACACCCATTACCCTGAAAATGCTATTGCAATGTTTCTTGAAATGCTAAGAGAGGGTGTTAGTCCAACCCCTTCTAGTGTTTCAGCTGTTTTGGTTGGTTGTACTCAGTTAGAAGCATGTGAACTTGGGGCTCAGTTGCATGCTTTGATTTGGAAAGCTGGTTTTGCTTTGAATCTTGTAGTAGGTACTGTTTTGATTGATATGTATTCGAAGTGTCTCGATCTTGAGACTTCGAGGAGAGTTTTCAATCAAATGCCTGAAAGGAATGTTATTACTTGGACCTCCATGATTACTGGTTATGCCCAAGAGCAGTGCCCTTTCCAGGCTATGACTTTGTTCAAGGAAATGTTGAAGTTGGGAATTAGACCAAATTATGTTACGTACACTAGTTTGTTGAGCTCATTTTCTTGCCCAGATTACTTGGTTCATTGTGAGCAAGTCCACTGTCATGTAATTCAGCAAGGTTTTAACACTAACCACTACTTGGTGGTAACACTGTTATCTGTTTACTCAGAGTGTAGTTGTAGCTTAGGAGATTTTCAAAAGTTGTGCTCTGACATTATGAAATGGGATGAAATCTCTTGGAATGCCGTCATTGCTGGTTTCTCTAATTTAGGAATCGGTGGAGAAGCCTTCACATGCTTTGCTAGAATGAGGCGGGCGGGCTTTACTGTTGACCATTACACTTTTGCAAGCATCTTGAAAGCTATTGGGAGCATTTCGGGCCTAGAGGAGGGAATGCAGACCCATTGTCTAGCTCTGAAAACAGGATATACTTTTGAAGTTTTCATACAAAACGGGCTTCTTTCCATGTATACAAGATGTGGTAGACTTGAAGAAGCGGAGAGAATATTCTCATCAATGGAGGAAAGAGACCTCATATCGTGGAACTCGCTTCTTACAGGCTGTGCTCATCATGGTTATGGTAGGGATGTGATGGTTATGTTTGAAGAAATGAGGAGATGTGGTATTAAACCAGATCTAACCACATTCCTCGCTGTACTTTCAGCATGTAGACATGCTGGCCTGCTCGACGAAGGGATTAAATATTTTGATTTGATGAACAATGACAATTCTCTACCACCGCCAAAGCTAGAGCATTATGCTTGCATAGTTGACCTCTATGGCCGCGCTGGTCATTTACATGAAGCAGAGGCCTTTATTAACAATATGCCAATAGAGCCAGGACCTTCGGTT